CGGCGAGCTTCTCCAGGCGGCCGCAACTGCACCCCCGAGCCACGATATCCGCCGGCGCAAACACCGTGTCACCGCAAGCTGTCCAGGCGGTGCTGCGGCGCTCCGGAGGAGGCAGCTCCTTCGCGCCCAACTGAGCGACGAGTTTCCTCATGCAGTTCAGCTCACCGCTGCCATCCCCCCTCTGCCTCTTAAAACTTTGACCTTTCTTGTTCGCGATGGCCTGCTCCGCGTAGTCTAATGCTTGCAGGGCGTTCCGTTTTATTCGCCCGAGTAGCTCTGGCGGCAGGCAATCCGCGACGTCTGCTGGGCGACGCCGGTGCGGCGACGACCGGTCGTTGCCAAAAGGAGAGGCAATGACCACCTCCTCATCGGCACGCACAGCCACCCAAACGAAGGACGTGCCCTCGCGCTGCTCGCTCCAAGGAGCCCCCGCGGCTAGCAAGGCTACCAGAGCGTACGGGCGCTTCTCCATGACTACGGAAGCGATTGCTGGTAGACGGAAGCGATTGCTGGCAGGCGGAGATAAGCTCACAGCCACACTGCAACACTGTGAACCAGAATGGCAACAGCGACGACAACGCTGGAGGAAATATAGACTTGGGCCTCTCCTGAGAGCCTTGGTGACCCCGTGGCGAGCCCTGGGGGCCTCTAGGGCTGAAGTGTCGTCGTCTGATGTTGTGTGGTGTCGTGTGTAGAGGCTTGTAGTGGTGAGCAATGGTGTCTAGTGTGGTGCGGTGCAGTGAGGTGCGGTGTGGTGCGGTGTGGTGTGGTGTTGGTGCGGGGTGGTCTAGTGCGGTGCAGTGCGGTGTGGTTCCTGAAATCTCTCCTTTGCTGATTCCTCCGATCTCGCCTTTGCTGCTTCTTGGTTCCTTTTCTGATTCCTGTCGCGTTTACTGATCGTGCTGGTATGGGTTGAGTGGCGTGGCGTGGCGTGGCGTGGCGTGGCGTGGCGTGGCGTGCCGTGGTGTGGTGTGGTGTGGTGTGGTGTGCTGTGGTGTCGTGTGGCGTGCTGTGGTGTAGCCCGCTGGCGGTCTCTAGATCTCACTGCACAACTGGTCGGGCAGGTTGCTGGATGGGCGGAGCTAAGCTCACTGCCCTCCCAACACCTTCTCTCCCTCCTCCTCCTCCTCGGACTCGTCCTCCTCCCGCTCCCCCCACTAGGTGGATGTACAAGGCGGCAGGAGGACATAGGAACAGGGTACATATGCGAGAGCAGGCAGAAATACGCCTGAAAAACACGACTGTCGGCATGCTTCGCTGGAGTTGCTGTTTGGGGATGGGCTGGTGGGGATACGCGAAGCGTGAAGAATTTCGAGTCGAATCCAGCGGTTGCGACGAGGGCCTCCCAGGAGGCCTAAGATAGCGAAAACGAGGAAGGTCAGCGGTGCACTTTGGAGCACCATGTGGGACTGCTCTAGAACAATAACAGACCGTAGGCGGATCAACCATTTCTCCGACCCTGTACTGCGCCGAACGCACCGGCCGAGCTGTCCATAGACATATCCACCCCTGGTGCGTCGATCGACGTCAGGGCACCCAGTTTCCATAGACGCTTTTGGCTAGAACGTGAGAGCGCGACTTGGCACTGGCCCCTGATATTCGTCTTCTCGAAACAAATGGAGGTGGAGTTGGCCCTCCAAGGTGTACGTTTTCCTCCTCCGATCCCCGCTACATCCCGGGAGGAAGGCGGGCCTCCCGCGGCTGCGGACCTGCCCTGGCGGCGTCCTCGCCCGCGGGGGGGAGGGCGGGCGCCGTCCGCAAGTTGCCCGTCGCAGAATGGTCGGCCGTCGTCGTCGTCGTCGTCGTCGTCGACGTCGTCGTCGTCGCCGCCGCCGCCGCCGTCGTCCTCGTCGTCGTCAGCGACGTCGTCGTCGTCATCGTCGTCCTCGTCGTCCCCGTCGGCGACGTCGTCGTCGTCGTCCTCGTTGGCATCCTCGTCGTCCTGCTCTTCCTGCACCTCCGCCGACCCCTCCTCTTCCTCCTCTTCCTCCTTCCTTTTCCCCCTTCCTCCCTCTTCCTCCGCTTCCTCCGACCCCCCCTCTTCCTCCTCTTCCTCTGCCTCATCGTTTGACGATTGCGCATATCACGAAGTGTGTTTCTGTGCGAGTCGAAGGTGGGCTATGGCACGCGCCCGCGGATGGACACAACTCAGCGCCGTGGGAAGGGATGGGAGGAAGGGATGGATAGGATGTCCGATGAGGTGCGAATGCACCTAGCTTATCCTCCTCCCCTCCTCCTCCTCTCCCTCCTCCTCCTCCTCCTCCTCCTCCTCCTCCTCCTCCTCCTCCCAAATTCCTGATTCATGAAGGCATGAGGATCCCGCGCGCGGGTGCTGCCCTTCCCCTCCTCCTGTTCCTCCTCCTGCCCCTCCTCCCTCCTCCCTCCTCCCTCCTCCCTCCTCCCTCCTCCTCCCTCCTCCCTCCCTCCCTCCCTCCCTCCCTCCCTCCCTCCCTCCTCTTCCTCCTCCTCCTCCTCCTCCTCCTCCTCCTCCTCCTCCTCCTCCTCCTCCTCCTCCCTTCTCCCTTCTCCCTTCTCCCTCGCGGTGTTCGGAGGCCGCGCGCCCGCGTCCATGACGCGGCCCGCCTGCGGCGCGGCGGCGCCCTCCTCGCCATCGCTCGGACGTCCATTCCCTGTGCTTTTCTCGATCTCGTGCGTGTTTTTCTCGCTGGATGATCAAGGATGCTCCTCGATGGTCCTCGCCGAGAAAAAATGCACACGTCCGAGAGATGCCAAGCCTCGCGCCCGGACCTTGGAGAGCTCCGGCGGCCCGCCCCTTCTTGCGGAACGCGAGGGGTGGCACGCGCGAGATGGGCACCGAAAAAAAACATGGCGCTGGTGCCGCCGCGGGGTTGGACCCACCACCAGTGCTCAAAACAACATATGGCATGAAGTGCTCTGGAGATTCGCTGGCGCACCGCCCCTGCACGTTCTCTCCAGGCTTGAATGCGTTTACCACATCCTTGTACACCTCCAGCCTGAAAGAGTCTGTGCTCACGCCCGAGTTGTCGACATCTTGTCACGTATTCGCGACCTTCCAAATCCATCGGCCAACCGTACGCCTGGTGGGGCACGAGAAGGTCGATGGAACCAGCCACGGTGCCGTAATCACAGCCGCCCTGATCTCCAAGGGCACGACATCTCCGAAGGCCCGTGCGCAGATGGAAGGGCGCGGGGCACGGAGTGGTGCCCACGGTCCGAAGGGACTCGCTCCAAGAGCATCCAATCAACATTCACCCCGCATCCAAGCCTGACCGCCATGGTGAGGGGCAACGATAGGGGGGACTGGCATAGGGGGGGGTGCATCGACCTGGAATCGACGATACATCGCCGATAGATCGGCGATGGGGCCCCGATAGTGAATCCGAACCTTCCTGGGCAGGTTGGGGCTATCGGGCCCCTATCGGCGATCAATAGGCGATTGGGGGTCGATGCATCCCCCCTATGGCTATCCCCCCCGATCGTTGCCCCTGACATGGTCTGCGGTAAGGTGGGCCCGCACCTCCAGCTCAGACACGGGGGTCAGCCTTGGCGAATGAACAAACCGCCCAGGCTCATACACGTGCTGGAGGGGGGAGGGAGGATCGAGCAAGGTAGGTAGACAACAACCTGTAAACCCTAACGCTGCAGGTGAAAATGTCTTGAACATCGGCTGGGGTTCTGGGGTGTCTGGTTCCCCGACGACGATCGGATCCGTACGCATAGGGTTCGAAAGAGCCGCATAATAGGTGGGTAGACGAGGGAGGGCAGTATGTTCACAGGCATGTCGTGGAACACCCACAGTCTGGTCACCATGATCCCCGAAACCGACTACCAGTTCTGCCCCGTCTGCAGCCCCTCCGCGTCGAACGGGGAGCAGCCCCGTCCAGTTCTGCCCCGTCTGCAGCCCCGGGGAGAGGGTCCCCGAAAACGCGCCGCCGCGTAGCCTCTTGAAGCAGCCACTCCAAGATGGACCCGGGACACCCCAGATGCCCCGAAACGCTGCCCAACGAAGCTCCCGAAAGGCTCCAAGAGGCATCCACGATCTCTTGCCCACGACCCATGTATTGGATCAAAATGGTTCTCTCAGGGATGGACTGAACCCCCTTTAGAACAAATCGTGGTTTAAAGAAAACGACCTCGGGCCCAAACCTGGCGGGCGCCAGCCTGGAAACAGACGGCCGCGGCGCCCTCTCGAGAACTGAAAACGGAGAATTCACTGATCGACGTCAGGGTGGGGGTTCTGCCCACCCCCGATTCTCCAGGGTTGCCGCCGACAGCTGCCTTGAAGGCAAGTACGCTGTCCAGATCGCGGTCGCGCAGTGCCTCAGACATGTCACTGCCATGCCGACGCCCTGCCACGCCACGCCGATGCCTGAGTACGCCCTGCCACGCCACGCCGATGCCTGAGTACGCCGTTGCCACGTTGCAAGAATAGCAAAGCTGATGAAAACCACAACGCGTCATTCAAACTAAGTGTCTGTGGGGCCTACTCGGAAAGTTCGGCACCCAGCGGAAAGGAGGAAGAGGATTAAACATGCCACACATACACAAGAAGCAAACCAACAACAATGAGAGATGGGGGGGAAGAGGATGGGGAGGAGAAGGGGAAAGGGAACGGAGGAAGGAGAAAGGAAGGAGGCCGAGGCGGAGTAGAGCGAGGAGACAGGGGGGCCGACGACAAAGGAACTTGCTACAACGACGACGACGACGTCGACGGACCGACCCCCGCACGCACCTCTCCTGGAGTGCGCTCCGGCCAGAATTCCGAAGCGGATCCAGCAGTGGCCACGACGACCCTCGAACGCCCCAAAGCCACGATCTTCGACTCCCGATCCTCCATCCTGGACTGACGAACCAGCAACACACACCCATACACATTGGGGGATCGGAGAGGGCTATGGGTGCGTGTTGTCGGATGGGGGTCCCCGCTCGAACGGGAGCGTTCCCCAGGGTCCGACAACCCGCACCCATACCCATAGCCAGTCCGTGTGCGTTGTTCGTACATCATGGACGGGGGCGACGCCGACGGCCCTGCACCCGAGGCGTCCTTGGCGGGGCGGTAGGTGAAGTCCGGGGAGGGCGTCCGGATGCGGGACCAGGCGGAGGGCGCCGGGCTGCAGCCGCGGGACTCTGCCGACTCCTCGCGGGGCGGGAGGGGGGAGGCGAGGAGCAGGGCAGGGAGGATGGGCGGGCGGAAGGGGGAGGTGAGGAGCAGGGCAAGGAGGACGGGCGGGCGGAAGGGGGAGGTGAGGAGCAGGGCAAGGAGGATGGGCAGGAGGAGAACGAAGGAAGGAGAGGAATGCGACGGAACAGGAAGGGGGAGGTGAGTTCCCAGCCTGGAACCTATCCCTATCCCTATGCTGGGCACCTCCTCATCACGATGCCAATCTTAGGGATGCCCTTGTTTTTTGAGGGCGAATCCCTAAGATTGTCATCGCCTTTGGGCGTGTCAATCTTAGGGAAAGGGATACGTTCGAGGCTGGTAAGTGAGGAGCAGGGCAAGGAGGATGGGCGGGAGGAGAATGAAGGAAGGAGAGGAATGCGACGGGACATGAAGGAGGAGAGGGAGCAGGAGGTGGAGGAGCGGGAGGAGGAGAAACAGGACAACGAGCAGGAGCGGGAGGAGAAGGAGCAGGGACAAGGAGGAGGAAGGAAGAGAGGGAGGAGAAAGAACAGGTTGGTTGGGAACCGGGTAGACCGAGATTCGCGAGGACCGCAGGAAACAGCAGAGAAATCAGGAGGATATGGAAGCCCGGTCCGAGCGAATGATCCTGGGCCTCCCGCGGGCAGGCTAGCGAGGAACGAAATGGCAACAGGTGGGGCACGAGGACAACGCGGAGGAAGAATGCCACTGGTCAGAGGAAGAGGAGAGGGAGGAGAAGGAGATAAGAAGGATAGTCAGGAAGAAGAGGACGAGGAGCAAAAGACGGGCAGAAGACGGAGGCGGAGGCGGCGGTGGAGAGAGAACGCAGGAGACGGAGGCACAGGAGCCAGAGGGGAGAATTCAGGAGACGGGAAGGAGAGTAGTTTGAGGCGAGGTGCCTGGTTCTGGGAGCAGACAGGGAGGCCGACAAGCAGAATGACAGGCAGAGAGACAGGCAGGAACCCGTGCCTCCTCCTGCTCCTCCTCCTCCTCGTCACCAGCATCATAGTGATCAGCAGCCGCAACATAATAATAATAATCATCATCATCATCATCTTCATTAGCTTCAACATCATAATCGTCATCACCAACACCACCATCATCATCCCTCCCGTCATCGTCGTCGTCATCATCATCAGCAGCAGCCTCCTCCTTCTCTTCCTCCTCCTCATCAGCAGCATCCTCATCCTCATCCCCATACTCATCCTCCTTCTCCTCATCCTCCTCTTCATCATCATCAGCAGCAGCAGTATCATCCTAAACATAATCATTAACAACATCATCAGCAGCAGCAGCAGCATCATCGGCATCATCATCAGCATCATCAGCATCATCATGATCATCATCATCATCATCATCATCATCATCATCATCATCATCACCAAGATCGCCATCCCCATCACCATCATCATCATCAGCAGCAGCAGCACCACCATCCCCATCATCAGCAACATCACCATCACCGTCATCAGCATTATCACCTTCATCAACAACAATATCATCAACATCATGATCGCCCACATTAACGGAATCATCATCACCACCACCATCAACAGCATCACCATCACCATCGCCCTCAAGAACATGCTCAGCATCAGCAGCACCATCATCATCAACAACATGATCATCATCATCATCATCATCATCATCATCATCATCATCATCAGCAGCATCCTCATCATCGCCACAAACATCAAGCACCTTACCAGCAGCAACATCCACGTCGGCACCGTGCGATTGCTCAATTTGGACATCATCCTCATCATCCTCATCATCAGCATCATCATCAGCATCAACAGCATCAGCATCATCATCAGCATCATCAGCATCATCAGCACCACCACCCTCATCATAATCATCATTATATCCATCAACACCAACATTATGATCACCATCATCATCATCAACAGCATCATCACTAACACCGCCAACATGCGTTTTATCTTCATCAACTGTCTCGCATCCAGCCGCCAACCCCTCTTGCGACGCTCCTCGAACGCGATCCCTAATCCAGATCCTGCTCCTCCTGCTCCTTCTGTTCATCCTGCCCCTGATCGACCTCGTGCTCGTGCTCGTGCTAAGACTCCTGCAACTGCTCCTCCTCCTCCTCCTCCTCCTCCTCCTCGACCTTCCGAGTAGCCGTTCTCGGCCCCGACCGTTGTGGCGTGAGGGCCTTGCTTGTGCAAACTCCACCATGGCGCCCTGCACAAGCGAGCCAATCTCAATCTGACCAGCCATTCCTCCAACATGTTTCACGCCACGTCGCCATGGGAGCGCCGCTCCAACCAGCGTAAGAAAGTCGCTTGGCGGACACATGCAGCAGTTTGTGGAAGAGCTCGGGAGGCGGAACACGAGACGGCGACCGAAATACCAAAGCTCAGTTTTGGAAGTGCTCCACTGCTACTGTAAGCCCTGCTAGATCCCGAGAGGCACCAAGGTACCTGGAGCTGCTGGACAGCAGTACAAGGTGCAAGGAGCATGGGCCATTGGGCCGCCGCCTCGGGCGATTGGCTTGCAGCCCACACCGCCGGGGAAAGATCTCAACGTTGAGATCACCAAGATGGTGGAACTGCCCAGCCTTTCCAGGACTTGGCCGCCGCCAGCCTGCACAAGATCGCGTGAAGGGGCCCTGGGACACACAAACAAATACACACAAATAATAGGATTCCCCATCTGTTCCAATATTTTCTGGGTTTTTTGTCTTCCCCCCCACTTCCCATACTTTCCCATCTTTTCCTGGGAGTCGACGATTCATTGTGTCTGTGTGTTCTTTCCCCTCCTGAAGGAAGCAGGCCGCAGATCGAGGACCAGAGGAGAAGCCCCCCCTGCAGCAGCGAGCACAACCAGCGCACCGGCGCCGTGCCCCATCTCGAGAGTGAGCTAGGCAGGGGAGCTCGAGCACGGCTCGAGAGGTGGAAAGGATGTAGGGGAACGAACAATGGAGGAAAAATGCCACTGGTCAGAGGAAGAGGAGAGGGAGGAGGAGGAGATAAGAAAGATAGTCAGGAAGAAGAGGACGAGGAGCAAAAAAGAGGGCAGAACACGGAGGCGGAGGCGGAGGTGGAAATGATGTAGGGGAGCGAACAATGGCATAAGCATCAAAACTCGGAGGTCCGCGCGGATTTCTCGGATCGGCGCTGACCCCCCTGGCGGCGCCTCCAGGCGCCGCCCCTGGCGCGCTCCGCGCGCCAGGGAGGGGGGGTCCAGCGCGGATCCGAGAAATCCGCGCGGACCTCTGAGTTTGTATGTCAATGTCATTGCTCGTTCCCATATGATGGGCTGCCGAGAAACAGGCAGCCCAAAGCTGATCGAGGAGCTCGGACAGGCGAATCGGCAGCACAAGGAGTTGATGGCCCTGCTCCACAATCCGGCGTGTCCTCAGAAACCCGATGCTGGTTCTCCTCATGCAGCTAGCCTCCATCTCACATACATCCTGGACGGAAAGATGCAATCGCTGGAGCTCACAGGTGAAAGGCGACATCTTCGATCTGCCCGACGACGAATACCAGTTCATCGAGGAAGACAAGCGTGCGCTGGAACAATCCACCAAGGAGGTACAGGCCAACATCACGGAGGTCACTCGCAAACCCTTCAGTGACACTGTCGTGGCCAAGCTCGAGCACATCCTCAGGCTTGGCTAGAAGCGTAGGGCGGATGTTGGAACAGATGGCAAAAAAAGAACTGCACCAGGTGTAGGTGCAGGGGCACCTGGATAAGCTGCAAATGAGGGAGATCGTGGAGGAAGCGGCGGGTCAAGTTCGACAAGCTCTGCAGATCCAAGGCCAGCAGCGCCACCACCACCATCAGATTCGGCAACGACGCCATTGGCGGCTTCCGCAGCAACGGGCAAACCAAACGATGTACGTGAGAGAACGCGTGTCGTCCCGAAAAGCAAGGAACCCTTCCCCCCTCGGACAAGGAGCAGCCCAGGCCTCAGGTGGGGCCGTAGGAGTTGCGATCAGGTACGGGGGGAGCATCTGAGCCAGCAGCAGTTTCACTTGCGAGAGATGCAGCAGGTGGAGTATCCTTTGAGCCGTATGAGGGCATGGAGACCTGCAGCAGGTGAGAGCTGCAAAGCGCCACATCAGTCTCATGCAGTCATCGTCCAGGAACGCATAACGAGGAACGAAGGGGCGTTCTGGCCACAGCGGGCCTACAGGTTCCATTGCATGCATCGAAGGAGCGACCCGAACAGCCGAGCCCCTTCTGGGCCAAAAGCGGTTCTTGAACGAGCGTCTTGACTGGGCCGCTTTCCGCCCCCCCGCCCTCCCTATGGGTCCCGCACTCCACGTTGGTAATCCGAGCGGGCCATCGGCAACCTGTAACTGTCGCCACTGTTGGGCTCCTCGGGCCTGAATTTGGAGGAAGTATCAAGCGGGAGCCTCGTCTGTGAGTGAATTGTGAGGAAGTCTCAGGCGGGAGCCCCCTCCCTATGGGTCGCGCGCTTCATGTTGGTAATCCGAGCGGGTCATCGGCAACCTGTAACTGTCGGCACTTTTGGGGTTCCCAGGTCTGAATTTGGAAGAGGTATCAAGCGGGAGCCTCGTCTGTGAGTGAATTGTGAGGAAGTCTCAGGCGGGAGCCCCCTCCCTATGGTTTTTGGCATTTCATGTTGGTAATCCGAGCGGGTCATCGGCAACCTGTAACTGTTGCCACTTTTGGGTTCCTCAGGCCTGAATGTGGTAACTGTCGTCACGTTTGGGCTCACCAGGCATGAATTTGGAGGAAGTATCAAGCGGGAACCTCGTCTGCGAGCGAATTGTGAGGAAGTCTTAGGCGGGAGCCCCCTCCCGATGGGTCCCGCACTTCACGTTGGTAATCCGAGCGGGTCATCGGCAACCTGTAATTACTCCGGAGTAGGTGAGGGCAGAACGGCGGGCGAGAGGAGAGTGTCTGTCAGGGCGAAGGAGAAAAGGGTAAGGGCAAGCTAAACAGATTATCACGTGGGGTCCTTCCGTCGGAGTAATTGTGTATTTATTTGGGTGTCCTGGGGCCCCTTCAATACTGTCCGAGATCCAGGACCACAGCGGCAGCAGGCCCTCTACAAGGGGGGTTGGATGAAAAATACACAATACCCCAAACATGCGCAAAAACATATCCCAACATGGTCCAAAAAAGATTCCTCCTGTGGAGGGACAGGCCCGACTTCAGATTACGCGGCGCCCGAGACGAGTGGAACAAACATACTGCCCGAGCTCCCGGAGCACGGCGGCGGCAGGCACGATTTATTTCAGAACGTGCTGTAAGTCACCCTGATGACTTCCGGCGCTCATTCTGGGATCCCTGGGGACGCGTGTTCCCACCGCCGCTGCACATAAGACCCGGGTTTCGCATGGACTCCCGTGCACTCTGTGGCGAAAAGCGGCCTGGCAGGTATTAGGCTGCGTGCCAGAGCCACCCCAATGTGGCTCGAAAAGGGCAGCCGGAAGAGGAGGAGGAGGCGAGGAGGAAGGAAGAGGCCCCCGGCGCCTCGTCCGACGACGCCACCCACACGGGCGCCTTGCAGCGCGGCAGCCTCGCCGCGGGCTCCCCGCTCCGCGCCCGCAGCGGCGAGGGGTCTGGGCGCCCGCGGCGTGCGGCCGGCCCCCCCCCCCCGACGGGGGGCCGCGTTGGGCTACGCTTGTCTGGCCATCGGCGGCCGGGGTCCCTCGGGGCTCGACGACTCTTCGCCAATCACCTTGCGGGGATCAAGCCAGACAGATCTCGACGAACCGATGCACACGCAAACGCATCGAGGGAGCTCCCGAGATGTGCATGCAGATCTGGGGAGATCGGGGACGCTCCAGCGCGAGTCGAGGGACAGCAGAGGTCGTTAAGGCCTCAACGACGGGCACTGGCCATCGCTCGGACGTCCATTCCCTGTGCTTTCTTCGGTTTCGTGCGTGGCTTTTTCGCCAAATCATCAGGGATGCTCCTCGATGGTCCTCGCCGAGGGAAAAAATGCACACATCCGAGCGATGCCAAGTTGTGGATGCCACGAGTGATCGGATGATTCCCGAAGCCGAATACCAGTTCTGCCCCGACTGCGGCCCCTCCCCGTCGAGAAGGCCTGCACTCTCACAGTAATGTTGTGGATGCCACGACACTGGACACCCTAATAGTCCTATCATTGCATTTAAAGTGCGCGTACCATGTCGGAAACATGTTCTAAACATGTGTTGAACATGTTTTTTACATGGATCAAACATGTGTTTAACATGTGCTAGGCATCTGGAGATTAGTTGGTAGCATGCTGCCCCTCCATGGATCGTCCTCCACGAGGCTACGCACACGCAGAGCGTGACCCGAAGCACGAGGTGACCGCTGGTGCGCGGCTTCCGAGAAGGGCGCATGGGGGGGGGGGGGGAGGCAAACCCGAGCGCGCCAGCCGCTGCTGTGGCGTCACGGTCAGCCATCTGGGGACCACAAGTCCTCCTCCTCCTCCTCCTCCTCCTCCTCCTCCTCCTCCTCCTCCTCCTCCCCCTCCCCGTTCCCTGGACACTCCTTGGCCGTTCCAGCCGGAGGGAGACCGAGCAACGCCACAATGGAGTCGAAGGACAGCCCCTTCCCGTTGATCCCTCCCTCCCCCGCGCGGGGGGGGTCTAGACGGCACTGTGGCACTGTGGCACCTCTCCCTTGTTCTCTACGTTTCGAGTGCTCGCTTATGAAAGCTTCGGGCCGACCCTGTCTTTTGAGCCGTCGTCGTCGAAGCTCCCCCTCTTCACATGTTGCCGTCGCCGGCGCCGTCACCACCTTCGCCACTCCCTCCTTTCCTTGGCCCTACTTGTCAAGCGATCCAGCCCAATGGACATCGAGCAATTCTGTAATCGAGTCGACGGGAAGTCCCTTCTCGTTGATTTCTACCCCGCCGTCGAGGAGAGGGTCTCGGCGAAGGGGCGGGGGCGGGGGGGTCCCAGGGATGGCCCCCCCCCCGGAGTGAGCACCTCTCTCGGAGAAGGTCTCCCCCATCGATGCCTTGCCTCCCAGACGCCTCGAGTTCATCTGTGGCGCGGCTGGCTCCAGGAGGGCCTTGAAACAGGCAAAGATCGTTCCAAGACGTCCCAAGATGCCCTCTAGACGGCCCCAGAAACCCCCAAGACGCCCCAAGAGGGCCCCCAGAGGCGAACATCATGCCTTCTCAATGAATTGCGTGGCGCCCCGCCGTCGCAGTTAGGAGTGATGGGGCGGCGGGGACGTTGGCAGTCTGCGAGGCTCTGAGAAGGCTCGCTACAGGCGCTTGGCGACTCCGCAAATTGTGGTCTGAAAATTTGCAGCCGGCACCCTTTGAAGGGGCCCTGGGACACACAAGTAAATAGACACAAATAACAGGATTCCCTATATTTCCTATATTTTCTAAGTTTTTGTCTTCCCCCCCACTTCCCATATTTTCCTATATTTTCTGGGGGGTCGGCGATAAATTTTGTCTGTTTTTGTTCCCCCTCCTGACCCTTGGAGGCACCCCTGGGGAGCGGGCGCGAACCTTGACGGAGCCCTCCGCCGCGCCTCGAGGCGCCCCGACCGCACCAACGGTGCCGAATTCAAATCACAACACGGCGTAGCCAGACCCTATGTGTAGTCGCCCATTCTCGTTCTTCGGCGGTGGACAAACCTCCCTTTAGTAAACCTTCCTTTATGACAAGGGCCTGGGACCGAAACCGACGGACCTGGACCCGCAAAAATGACGGCCGCGACGCTTCCTCGCGAACCGAGAACGGCAAATTCCTTAATCGACGCGTCAGGGCAGGAGGTCTGTCGCCGATTCTCGTTATCCGAATATCGCCGGAGATCCGGTTAGGGGGCCACATGCGAACCCTACCCCTACCCCCCACGATTTCTGAGAGGGAGGTGGGGTTCACTTCGTTCGGGAGCTCCCGAGCGAAGCGAACCCCACCATCCCCCTCAGAAATCGTGAGGGTAGGGGTAGGGTTCGCATGTGGCCCCCTACTGGTCACGCGCGACCCCGACCCCCGGCCCCCTCGGGAGGGGGGCCGCCCCCGGCCGCCGCGGGCAGCTGGCGTGCGCCAGCCGCGGTGGAGGCTCGGGACGCCGCGCTCTTCGCCCTGGAAGACGAGGCGGACCTTTGCAGAGCACCAGAAGGGAACACCCGCATTCGGGGATGGACAGACCCCCCTTTAGTAAAGCGTGGTTTAGTGAAAACGACCTGAGGCCCAAACCTGGCGGGCGCAAGCCTGGAAAATAATGGCCACGGCGCCCCCTCGGGGACCGAAAACGGACAATTCACTAATCGACGTGTCACTGTTGGGGGTTCCGTCCACCTCCGATCTCAAGTCCCCGGACAAGCAAGGCCGTCTAGCAAACGCACCCGAGGGAGTCGAACCGGGCCAGGCTGTTCGGTCTTGGAAGCAGGGCGCAGATTATGGGGGTCGGTGCGGTTTTTTCTCCCATGGCTCTAGAGGACCAGAAAAAGGCATAGACTAACTATCGGAGCTCCGCGCAGATCGTTCGGATCTGACGGCGCCTCCGACGCCGCCCCTGGCGCAATCCGCGCGTCAGGGCGGGAAGTCGCGCGCCGGTGCAAGACGTCCGCGCGGTTCCGAGAATTCTTGTTTACGTATGCTGTGCTTCTTCTTCGGAACTTTCGCTGCGGTGGGGTGGTGCGGCGCGGCGCAGGCCAGGGGCGAGGTCGGTGAGGGTGGAGGGCTGGGGCAGCTCCCCTGAGGTCCAAAGGCGGCATCGCCGATACATCGTCGATGCATCGGCGATGCATCGGTGATGCATCGGCGATGCATCGGCGATGCACCCGCGACGCATCGTCGACGTCGGCGATGCATCGGCGACGTCGACGTGAAGCAAATCGTGCTCCACATCGAGCCGCATCGGCGATGCATCGGCGATGCGGCACGATCCTCCGACCCCATCTACTCCGACCACATCTAGGAGGCCTAGAATGGAGTGCTGGGGCAACTCCCCTGAGATCCAAAGGCGGCGATGCTTTTTTCAAAACAGGCGTAGTCTCCCGCTTTCGGTGGGGTCTGGGGCTCCAACCATGACGTCCCGCGATGTTGCATTTGTTCGCAGCGTCGGATCTCAGGGGAGGGGAGGGGAGCTACGGAGGAAGCAACGCCGGGGAGATCTTCGTAGGAACGACGAGCGATTGAGCCATATTAAGAGGCCAGCCCAGGCCGAATGAGGCCTGGGATGAGGACAGGGATTCAAGCGGATTGATCGGGATTAAACTGGATTGCGCGGGAATGTGCCGGATTAGGAAGGCGTCCGACCAAGGATCTACCAGCGCCGATGCTGAACTGAATCTCCCAAGACTTGCAAGGAGAGGGAGGAGAAGGGGGGAAGGGGAGGGGAACGGGGAGAGGGGGGGAGGCGACTTACCACACCGTCATAATTAGCCCCCCGACAAGCGAAACCGTTTAGCAAACGCACCCAAGGAAGGTATCGAACAGGGCAGGGCTGTTCAGTAAACGACCAGGGCCGCTTAGTAAACGCCAAGTATGGGGGTCAAGGTGTTCTCCACAACCATCCTGTGGTGTTGGGTCATCGCTTTTGAAGAGACAGCACACGGCGTCTCATCTCTCCTCTCCTCTCCTCCTCCTCCTCCTCCTCCTCCTCCTCCTCCTCCTCCTCCTCCTCCTCCTCCTCCTCCTCCCCCTCCTGTCTCCTCCCTCGCCTTGCTTCTGCCCTCCTTGTCGCCATGCTCACCATCATCATAATCATCATCATCATCATCATCATCATCATCATCATCTCATCATCATCATCATCACATCATCATCATCATCATCACCACCACCACCACCACATCATCATCACCACCACCACCACCACCATCATCATCATCATCATCATCATCATCATCATGATCATGATCATGATCATCATGATCATGATCATGATCATCATCATCATCATCATCATCATCATCATCATCATCATCATCATCATCATCATCATCATCATCATCGTTATCATCATCATCATCATCATCATCATCATCATTTCCAACATCATCATCAGCAGCATCAGCATCAACAGCCTCATCATAATCAGCTGCAGCAGCATCAGCAGCATCAGCATCATCCTCATCATCAGTATCAGCGGCATCATCATCACCATCATCATCAGCATCATCAGCAGCATCCTCAGCAGCAGCAGAAGCATCATCATCATCATCATCGTAATCGTCATCATAATCAGCATCATCATTAGCATCATCGTCATCGTCATCGGCATCGTCACCGTCGTCGTCAACGTCATCGTCATCATCACCATCATCAGCAGCAGCAGTATCATGATCATCATTAGCACCACTCTTGTCATAAACGTCATCATGATGGTCATCGACATTATCATCATCCTCATCATCAACCTCATCATCGTCATCATCATCGTCATCATCATCATCCTCATAACATAATCATCAGCACACCCATAAGCATGATCATCAACAGCATCAACAGCATCATTATCAGCGGCAGCAGCATCAGCGTCATTATCATGAGCATCAAGATCATCAGCAGCAGCATCAGCAGCCTCATCATCATCGTCGTCGTCGTCATCGTCATCATCGTAATTCTCGTCATCATCGTCGTCATCGTCACCATTATAATGGCACACTCCTCGCACGTGTCGTGGCCCCCAGGGAGCCCAATCGAAGGCCCCAGTTGGAACGTTCGCATGGCACCACCGCCCCATTTCGGCCCCCCCCTCGCACGGTCGTGGCCCCGTAGGGAGCCCCACCGCACGCCTCAGTGGGAAAGTTCGCACGCAGTTCCACCCCCCATGCCGGCGCACCCCTCACACTGCTCGTGGCTCTGTAGGGAGCCCCACCGAATGCCCCAATGGAAAAGTTTGCACGCAGTGCCGCCCCCGATTTCGGCATACCGCTCACACGGTTCGTGGCCCCATAGGGAGCCCAACCGAAGGTCCCGGCGGGAAAGGTCGCATGCAGGTCCAACCCCAATGTCGGCACACCCCTCACACGTTTCTTGGCCCATTAGGGAGTTCAACTGGAGGCCCCAACGGAAACGTTCGCATGCAATTCACCCCCCATTCAAGCAAACCCATCACACGGTTCGTTGCCCCATGGGGTGCCCCACCGAAGGTCTTAGTGGTAGGGTTCACATGCACTTCCGCCATCAGTTCGGCATACCCCTCACACATTTCGTGGCCCCATAGGGAGCTCCACCGAAGGCCCCAATTGCAGGGTTCGCATGCAGTTGCACCCTGATTTCGGCGCACCCCTCACACGTTCCGTGGCCCCAAAGGGAGCTCAACCGAAGGCCCCACCCCCGACTTCGGTGCACCCCTCACATGGTTCGTGGCGCCACAGGGAGCTCCACCGAAGGCCCCAGTGGCAAGGTTCGCACGCGGTTGCACCCGTCATTTCGGCGCCCCCCTTACGCGCTTCGTGGCCCCATAGGGAGCTCCAACGAAGACCCTACTGGCAAGGTTCGCATGCGGTTCCACCCTCCATTTCGTCGCACCCCTCACACGGTTCGTGGCCCCATAGGGAGCTGCACCGAAGGCCCCAGTTGTCGGGTTCGCGTGCAATCCCACACCCCCCGATTCCGTCGCACCCCTCACACGGTTCGTGGCCCCGTGGGGAGCTCCACCGAAGACTGTACTCACACGTCTCCTGGAAATGTCGAGGCAGTTCGGATCAGGATGAGGGGGTCAAGATGGGGAGGGTGATAATGATGACCATACGAGAATGACGAGGGAGAGGATGAGGATCGGGGGGTGAGCAGGCCGCGATCCCGTCCCCTGAGACCTCCCCCCGAACCGCCCCACATAAGATAACTGAGGGAACGTGAACGGATGGAGTTTCAAATCGCCTGCTCGGCGGCCTCCGTGCGTGTTGTTGCTTTGGTGTTCGGGAAAGGGATTCTGGGGGTGGCCCCGGGGGAGAGGACGTTTCTTTCTCTGCAACAAGAAACCAGATTGGAAAGAAAGGGACATGCTGCCGATGTTTGAAATGTTGCGTCTCGTGTTCCTGAAGCAGATGTTGTCGCTCGACAATTCGTAGCCATCTTGTGGTGTTGGGTTCTCTTCTTGAAGAGGCAGCGCCCGGCGTCTCACCCCTTCCTCTTCCCCGTCATCCCCTCCTCGTCGTCCTCCTCCTCCTCCTGTTCGATATCAGCTCAGCCTGCGCCGCCCATTTCGGCACACCCCTCACACGGTTTGTGGTCTCATCGGGAGCTCTACCGAGGGCCCCAGTGGCAGCGCTCGCATGGCGGCCCCTCGCACGTTTCGTGGCCCATGAGGGAGCTCAACTGGAGGCCCCAGTGGCAGCGTTCGCATGGCGGCCCCGCACCCATTTTGGCACACCCCTCACACGTTTCGTGGCCCCATGGGGAGCTCCACCGAAGGCCCCAGTGGCAACGTTCGCATGCCAGCCCCGCCCCGCACCCTTTTCTTGCACTCCCCTCACACGTTTCGTGGCCCCAAAGGGAGCTCCGCCGAAGGCCCTGGTCGCAGCGTTCGCATGGCGGCCCCGCACCCATCCTGGCATGCATCGTGGCCCCATGCGAAGCTCCAACGAAGGCTCCAGTGGCAGCGTCCGCATGCCGGCCCCGCGCCCATTTTGGCACACCCCTCCAACGTTTCGTGGCCCCATAGGGCGAGGTGAGGCGAGGCGCCGGTGTGTCGCACCAGGGGGGGGGGCGGCCCTACGAGAGGCCGGCGTTGGCGCCAGAGCGCCGAGAAGCATTAACCCCCGCTCGCTCAGATGCTGGAGTCGGGTTTTCGAGAGCTAGATCGGAGGACGGGCAGAGACGAGTGCTGGAGTACGTAGCATGGGAGCGGGAGTCAGAGACGTCGGAGGCATGGCATATGAGACGACATTGAGGAATTGGGGGAAGAATCTGTCATTCCAAGCCGTAAGAATCGCTTCAAAGCCGTCCACGTGCAAGTTTGCTGCGATTGATAAACATTGTCTGCTATCGTTGTGGGCGTCGTTGTGCTGTGTCGTGCCTGTGGTGCGGAGGAATTGGGTGATGTCGTTGTCCCAGCGCTTATTTGGAGCTCCACCGAAAGCCCCAGTGGCGACGTTCGCATGCGCCCCCCACCCCACCCCAAATTTCGGCATACCGCTCAGGCGCTT